CCAAATATCTTTGCCGGAGTCAGAATTGCCCCGCCCTTGTTGGTCCGGGCTAAGCAAGCTGCTTGGGTTTGCTCTCAGGTGCTTTTGTTCCCTGCAAGCTCTCCGTAGAGCTTTGGAGGACCAGGGTGAAAATGGTGGCCTCCCAATCTCCACCCGGAGGAGATGAGAACTCGAGGCCCCACTCCTCAGTGCGCCCCCAGAGAAAAGCAGCCACTCCCGTCTCCCTGGTCTCCGGCCGCACTGTGTGCTCACCCGGCCTGTGACCGAGCGTTTCTATGTCTGGCACCCGACCCCGTGTGGAGTCTCCAAACCCAGCAGATCCCTGCGGTGCGCTCCCGCGCCGCTCCTCCTGGGGGAGGAAGGGGAGTCTCCCCGGATCTGCCGCTTGTTGGGTCCTTGCTGGAGGAGTAGTGGCCCGACTGGGCCGTGGATCACAGTTTATGGCCACCCCGAGCTGGGAGCCCGCGCCTCGGCTCCGTCTCTGCAGCCGGCTTCCCCATCCGATTCCTGGGAGTTCTGCAGCACTCAGGCACCCCCGGTCTTTCTGTGACCCTGAGGGTCCTGAGACCACACTGTCCCGCGAGGGTTCCACCCCCCACTTAGCCACTGGAGCGACATCCCTCAGCAGAGCCGACTTCTAAAAGTTCCGATTTTGTGCTCCGCGGCTCTATCACTTGCCAGAAGCGGCCGACGGAGGCCCCCTCCCCCGCCATCTATCCTCCCGAATATTGCCTCAGATTCACTTCTCCACACGTCCTACCTTCCAGTAAGTGGTCGCTTCTCTGTTCAGAGAGTTGTTGCTACTCTCTTCTTCGATCTCCTGTTGAGTTCGTAGGTGTTCAGAATGGTTTGATCCCTATTCAGCTGAATTCCTGAGTCCAGACGATATCCAGGCCCCCTACTCCTCTGCCATCTTGCTCCGCCACCTCCATGTAACTTCTCTAACAGCAGGACTGATTATTAAGTACAATTTTTTCTAGTTTAAAGTATTAAATAATCAAATACAGGTTTTAAAAATATATTTTTCATCTATCTATTGACTTATTTTTAACTGAATTGTACATTTCCTTTTACGTTTTCCTTTTGGGATATAATCTCATTTTCATTGATTTGTGAGGTTTTTTTTTTGGTTTATAAGAGTTCTTTACATATTAGATGAAACATACAAGATAGATATTATAGGTCAAAAACAGTTAAATATTCACAACTTTATATGGTTCAACTTAAATTATGTACTTTATGTTGGTTGCCAATATTTTCCCAGTTTGCCTTTTGTTCTTTTTTATCATGTTTTTTAAAGCATATAACAAGTTTAAAATTTTTTTGTTGTTTAATTTAGTGATCCTTTCCTTTGTAGTTTTCTCCATTGCTTTCTTACAGCTACAGGTCTCTCTATCCCAAGGGCAGATAAATATTTTTGTAGTTTCATATTTTAAAATTTAACTTTTAAAATCCATCTGGAATTTTGTTTGAATGTATTGTTAAGGCAGGGATCTGTTTACTGAGTGATGAAACAATTACTTTCAGATTCCTGAGTAACCTCTGTTGTTTATTTTCATGCTCCATTGCTAAATACACAAAATTATTATGTGTCCTAGGAATATAACATCTTTGACCTTGGTTCTTCATAAAATACATTATTCTAATGCCTTGGGTTAGCTGATGAGCTTCAAGGACCAACAATAATCTGGAGACCTTAATTTTGGCAATGTTAACTCTAAAGATATAAGTAATAGTGTATTCCATACTTGATTTACTTGATGGCTTCTTCTAGCATAAAATTCTATCATCCACGGATGCTTACACATTAACTTAAATGGATAGTATTGTTAAATAAAATGTTATTTAGAAAGATTTAAAAAAAAAACCTTGATTGTGTTTTTCCTTTTTTCTTTATACTTAAATTTGGCTTAGCTTTAGGAATGATAATATGTATTTTAAAATTTGTTCTTTGAATTAAGATACCAAGTGATGACTTATTTATTAATTAGTGTTCTAGGCTTCAATCAAATTGTCTGTCCCATCATAGATGTTTTAGACAGAAATTCCACTCATTTATTTTAGAGTTTTTAGAGCTTATTACAGTGTTCCTGTGGAATAAAATGCGCAATCTTAAATGAATCCAACTGAAGTCTAAATTTCTGTTATTTTATCTAAATTATATGCAATGATTCTGATGCTACTGAAGAAAAAAGTAAATTGCTTTTAGTTTTGTGATTTATTTTTAAGACATTCTGGTGACCTTTGTTAAATTCTTTCGGTGAGGGAAGACTCCTCCCTTTTATATTTGTACAGGTTGAGCACCAGTAATGATTTTTTTTTAAGAGTCTGAAGAAATACATGTATACGCTACTGTTTAAACTCTATCTTAAACTTAATAGGTTTCAATACATTTTTAGATAAATCTCGTGTCTGAATTGTTGCCATTTGCTGTCTAAAACAGTGGAACAAAACTGATTCAATAATAAGTTATCCAATTCATAGACCAAATGAATTTGAATGCTGAGGGATACTTGTATTGGGTCATACTAGGTTTCATATATTATGGACCACTCAAAGGGTAAAGATAAAATGGAAATACTCTTTTGAATTAAAAAAAAAACAACAACTGATGATCTCCACATTCTCTGACAAGCCAGCCAAAGATCTTGTCTTTAGTGTTCTAGAGTTTCCTGAGGACTCATTAAGTTTCCAGACCTTAGTGGGGTTGGGTGGAATGGGGAACAGACCACAGTCACAACTCAGAAGGGACAGAGGGTTTGCCCTGTTGAAAAGGCCTTGTCAGAGCTGGAAATTAGGATTTCCATGGCATGGCCACTAGGTGGCTTCAGCTGACTGCTTAGAAATGGTAAAGCCCAGAGGTACTGTGGGGTTGCTTTTCACACTTTATTTTAAGAAAATAATTTTATTTTGGGAGTATTTATTTCCTGAGCTAGATTAACAGAACCAATTTATAAAACTTAAAGACCTTAGAGGATCATCGAGCCTCACTTTCTCATTTTAGAGATAACATTTAGGAAGACTTCTCTAAATTGACTGCTATATGGGGCAGAGTCAGAGTTAGAACCCAGAGTCTCTGACTCCTAGTCTAGTTTTTTAGCAGTTGAGTTAGTGATATCAATTTATTTTTTGTTTCTCTGAAGTCATACCAGAGGGTTATGTGGCACTGACCGTGCCTAAGTAAGTCCTAGAGAAAGTATGTATAGGAATGTTGTGTCCAGAGGGGAGGTGGGTAAAATAGGTGATGGGGATTAAGGAGTGCACCTGCTGAGATGAGCACTGGGGTGTTGTATGGAAGTGTTGAATCACTAGAGTGTACACCTGAAAGTAATATTACACTATATGTTAATTAACTGGAATTTAAATAAAAATTTTTTAAAAAGTTAGTTCTATGCATCAAGAACCTGAAGAAATAGAGGTAAAAATTCAAGTACTTCTTGACTTCTGAGTCAAATGTAAGGACTGGATATACATACATATATAAAAAAAAAAGGAATTTTTTGTTGAAGGCAGGTGGTAAAGTGGATGCTGGTGGCCACCCTATAGGAGAGATTGAACAATGTTAGTATCTACTCTCATCCAAGTTAAGCTTTTCGATTAATGAGCTGACCACTTGCCATGACCCTATGTTGGGGAGTTTTAAAATTTCTTACTCATTCTGAATAAGGCCTAGACTCTTATATACCTTATATATATTTTTTTTTTCAGATGAATAGCAGTATTTTTTTCAAGTTGTTTTTTCTCTCAAATTTTCTATAAGTTTTGATTAATATTTAACCTTTAGAATGAGGCTAGAAACCTTTTTTTTAAAATCAAAGGCCGCTAGAAAATATAACAAATGAAAATCAAACAAATTCATTATGCATCAGCTCAAAATGACTTATGACAATGTTGACTTATTTTTTCTTCTGAGTAAGCAAAGGAGGAAGCAAATAGTGTTCCTTTCAGCTTTTTATAGCATGATCAGGAAAATTTACAACCTTTAAAAATGATATGCTAAGTTTATCTATAATTTATATATTAGGTCCAGATTCTAGAGTAAAAAAACAAAGTTAAAGGAGCCTAAGAGAGAAGGAAGAGTGAAAGGATGGGAGGAAGAGGGATGGAGCGAGAGCTACAAAATGAGGAAATGGGATACTTCTCCCTCCCTCTCTGAGTGAAGAGCAACTGTGACTGCTCTAGTAGGAGGGTGTGTGAAGGAAGTCATGGTGGGGGGCCCTGGGGGAAAGAGCGCAAACACAAGTCCCCAGGGTGGAGAATGAAAAGGAAAAGAGCAGGGATTTCATTTCTCTTCAAGGTCTTGCAGGGCTTACTTCGCTAATATTTTTCACCATTGCCCATATTGTCCTGTCTTTGTTCCTGTGCCTCAGCCATGATCTTCAGCCAGCCCGAGGCTCACTCTTGATCCATGGTAGCTTCACAAGTGTTCACATGCCTATTAAGAATCTACCAAGTGGGGGCGCCTGGCTGGCTCAGTTGGTTAAGTGACTGCTCAGGTCATGATCCTGGAGTCGCAGGATTGAGTCCCGCATGGGGCTCCCTGCTCAGCAGTGAGTCTGCTTCTCCCTCTGACCTTCCCCCCTCTCATGCTCTCTGTATCTCATTCTCTCTCTCAAATAAATAAATAAAATCTTAAAAAAACCAACAAACAAACAGAATCTACCAAGCAGGAGCTGGAGCGAGGATTAAATGATACAGTACTTGAAAAGCTTTTGGAGCATGATTTATCATGTAGTTAGGTCCCCCAAAGTGACAGCTATTATAATAATTGTTAAGGTTTTTTTCCCCCCGTGTAATGAATCCTAACATTGGGAGTGTTTATATAAATAAAAATCATGTTTGAAATATTTGAATTGAGTCCTTGATGTAAAACTTTAGAAATAATTATATGGCCATTTTCTTAATGGCATGTTGAAACTAAATTGAATAAAAATATTGTTGGTCAAGTCTAAATCCACCAAAAATTTGAATTATGTCTCATTTTCTCTTTCTTATTGTAGTGATTTAAAAGGAGTGATAGTCACTCTGAGTGATGATGGTCACTTGCAGTGTTCATACCTGGGGACAGACCCTTCTTTGTTCCAAGCTCCAAAGGTTGAGTCTAGAGAACTACACTATGATGAACTTGATATAGAATTGAAAGAACTTCAGAAAATCATCAAAGATGTTAATAAATCACAAGGTATCTTATTTGCAAGTTTTAGTATTTGATTTTAGTGTTCATTATAAAATTGGTATTATTTTGTATGTAGATAATATTTTGAATGTATTAGTTAATTTTCTCCTCCAGGCTTAATTAAAATCATATTTGTAAAAACAGTGTTGCTCTCTAATTTGTTTTTATAGCTTATTGCTTTTGTTAGTGTGTTTCAGGGACAGAGCTACCTAATTTTTTTTCTTTAAACTCTAAGAAAGGAACAAGACACTTCTTTGCTTAGTGGTTTCAGGACTTGAGAAGAGCATTAAACTTTAGAGTGATCATTTGTTAACTTCTAATATCCCTGAAAACATTTTAAGTTGCTTCTTTTAAAAGAAACTAAAGCAGTACATGAGTTACCACTTTGTTACTAAATATGTGGTCTTTTGCAGTTCAATGATATTATTTAGGTATGCAGTTAATTAGCCATCCAAATGTAGTGTAGCCTGCAGTATGTTGATTTCTAATGACTCAGAGGCTGATGATATTTTCAGTTTCTGAGTTTTGAGCAACTCAGTGTTATCTTTATTTGGGATTCACAGGGGTATAATTTTATTGTAAATTAAAAGGAGAAACAAAACACTAATCCTGCAGTTTGAATTGGACATGTGAAAAACATTATTTTAAGTTTTCTTCTCAGAGTCAGGTAAAAGTATTTTTTTAATGAGAAAAAATATGGACTATTTTCACATAAGAGAAATGTTAAAACAAGTAGGAATAATAAAAGAAGCAGAGCATCAAAAGCCAACCAAAACACCAGAGCCAATCTTAATCCTGATCCAGTCACTTTACTAGATTTATATATTTTTGAGTCTCCATTACCAAGACAGATTCAGAGGAATTTAGATAATATATTTTAAAAATATGATTATTAAAGTAAAATTATTATGCCTTGGCTTCACACATTCTCCTAGAAAGTTTTGAAAGTAAACCAGTGAAATTTAGGTCTTTTAAGTACCTCCAATTACAGAAAACCTACTTGTTGTCAGCAACCCCCTCTCAAATGGAGAATTGTTAAAATTGGATGTGTCACATTGCAATATACACATTCCCCCCCTTTTTGATACTAGTGTTTTGGGGATTAATGGAATTATGAGTCTCTTTATGTCATTTAAAAATATAATTGGAGAAGAGTGGCATATATATGAAACATGAAATTTCCAGAGTTCATTAAATAAATTTAATGTTGCTTTTCAGTTTAGATCTTGTGTCTTGAGATTTTGCCCTTTCCATAAACAATGTGCTAGTGATATTTTGATTAACACTCAACTGTGTAAAAGATTTCTCAGAAAAATCCCTTACAGCTAAAAGTTTTTTTTGCTGGCCATAGTGATGCCCTTGAGTGAGAAGGGTTGGGCTCTTTTAAAGTTGTCATTACCTTGATCCTTTTGTATATTTTGAAATAACTGCTAATTAAGGTAGGGATGTGCCCACAGACATGGGTGCAAAGTTCATTATTTATATAACCTCAAATTTTAGTTAATATTTGAAGTTCCCTGACACTTCTTTGCCATCATCATTTGGTTTTAGTCCTAAAAAAACAAACAAACAAAAACCTCCCACACACATATACACACACACACAACCAAAAAAAAAAAAAAACCCAAAGAGAAACTTGTAAGAAAGAAATTTTAAAATATTTTATTTCTAGATATTGAAAAAACTTAGTATTCTGTACCCTTATAAAACTGTGGTATATTTGTTTATTAAATACCTGTAATTATATAAAAGCACTAAATCATTTCATTATAGAAGATTATGAGAAGTTAAAACTCTGAACTTTTTGATGACCTCATTATTCATTTAAATGCCACTTATTTTAGTATAGTGACTTTCATTCACAAAAATAAGTTCACAGTCTTGTGGATTATTTTTGGTACTTAGAGCTTTTTTATTTCTTCAAAGCAGAGTTTCAGCAAAATTTAAAGCCAATTTAAAGAGTACATTTTGTTGTACACCTGGTGTATATTATCTACTGTAATAAAAGTGTTTTTGAAGCTGATTTTATGTGTGTAACTTATATGAGGAATGTATGTTGTAAGCATGAAATTATAGTAATAATTTCTGTATGGCTCATGGGTTTTGAAGCTTTTCATATTCAGCTCATTAGTGTGAATCCTGCCTAGCATTTCTGTTACCAGTAGTCAACCACATCTGTTGGTAGGCACTTTCAAAGGCAGAATTTCCTTATAATTAAGCCAGTTGATCATGTTCTTTACCTCGGGTGTGAAGGAATGAGTATGATATTGAGATAGCCTCCCACACAATTGTGTCTTCAGGAAGGGAAAGAGAACAGTAAGAAAGGGGCATATAAATGAAACTCTGTACCCTATTGAAAATATGTCTAGGATAACTAAGTTGCCTTTACCATTGAGTACTAGAAGCATTTGTACTTGGTGACCTTGTTAGAAGATGTGTTGTTTAGGTCCAAGTCTGTCTGCACATAACACAATACCCAAATAAGGTGGCTTAAACAAGGCAGAGGTTTATTTCTTTCCCATGGAAAAGAAGTCCAGCAATGGGCAGACCAGCGTTGGTCTGGCGGTTCCACTGTCGTCAGGGACTCCAATTCTTTCTCTCCCAGGGTCATCCGTTGGTCCAGGATGGCTTCTGGAACTCCTGCCCTCACATCTGCAGCTGAGTCAGCCCCCTTAAGGATCTTTGCTGGAAGCCACACCCTGAGCAGCTTCTACTCACATCTCACTGGCCACTCCAAGCTTACAAGAGGCTGGGAAAATTCGTGTTTTAGCCGAGCACTTTGTTGCTCAGAATAAAATTGAGCTTCTTTTAGTAAAGAACTGAAGAATGGTTTTTGGGTAGGCAAGGAGCAGGCTTTCGTATTGTCACTAAGTTATGGAAATTCCTACATCCAATATTGCAGTACACCAGGTGGGAATGCCTGATGGCAATTGTAGGTAGTTCTTCTCTTTGTGAGACAGCTGATTCCTGTGGCATCATCCAAGAACTTTCCATGTTTTCAGTCAGCTATCCTTGGTGTGTGAGGGATGTTTCCTCTCAAGGTCACAGGGTAATTTCAGCAGTTCCAGGTATTATGTGCAAATATGATTTCCAGGGAAGAAGAGAAACATTTCTCCTAAGTCTCCCTTTTTATTATGGGGAAATAGCTTTCCCAGAAGCATGCGCCCCCCACTCCCAACTCCCTTCACCTCACGTCTGCCAGGATTAAGCCCCAGTGCTCATGCCTAAAGCAACAAATGGTCGGGGGAATGAAATCACCATGATTGGATCTGACCAATCCAAGGACTTTGAGATGAAGGCGAATGCCTCAGTAGAATTACAGCTCTGCCACAAAGGAGGAGGAGGAGGGGAAAGTGGTTGTTAGGTGGGCAGCCAATAGTCTGTTATTCATATATATATATGTGTATATGAATGCACACACATATATACACATGTATTTTTGCGTATATATTATTTAGGTTTCTTGTTCATTTAGGATCTGTGTCACTTGTTCATATCTCAGTATGCACTATAAACATTTTTGAATAGTGAAATTTTAAGTTGTGAAAATAACACGAATGTGATGAAAATAATTCTAAGAGTACTAAAAGGGTAAAACCCCCAGATCCTAGTTCCTCTAGATTATTTAAAGGTAACCTTTATCAAGAGTGCTTGTGTATTCTTTAAAAAAAATTCATGTTTATTTCTTTTTACACAAATATGTGCATATTAGATGCATTGTACAACGTCTTGCTTTTTTTTTTTATTAATAGGCACGTCCTGGAGTTCTTTTCATAATAGTGTATAAAGTTAGCACTCTTATTTATAGCTTTGGTCTATGGATCATTGCATAGTGTAGATATACCATAATCTAGTCAAGCATTTCCCTATTAATAGAAACATAGGGATTTAGGTTGTTTTTGTTTTTGTTTTTAATAACTACCAGCAGCAGAGAGGCTCCTTGGGTGTGTCTGTGAGTATTGGATAAATGCTAAGGAGTAGAATTGTTAAATCGTAGGAATGTATATTTTACATTTTGATAGTTCTGACCAACTTACCTTCAAAAAGTTATAGTTTGGGCTCCTACCTATAGTGTTAAGGAGAGAGCATTGAAGTTCCCAACACTCTTCAGTCACTGGGACACATCTTAGATAATATCTTTGGAGAAAGACAGTTTTTCTTTAAAATTTTGTAGAGGGGGAAGAATGATCAGATTTCTAATTCTGTAATGCATTAGTTTTTTTCAACTTGTGAGTATGTTTATGGGGTTGTTTTTTGATATATGGTATAGAAAAACCTTTTTAAAAAAACTGTATGCAGCAGGTTTACCTTATGATTAAATATTGTTTTTCTTTTTAAATTACAGGTGTTTGGCCCATGACGGAGAGAGAAGATGATTTGAAAGTTTCTGCCATGGTTTCTCCTAACTTTGATTCAGTGTCTGTAGGTATATTCGCAGACTTTAAAAGGGTTTAGGATAGTGGTGGACTCTGCTGATTTGGGATCAATATGTATTGGTTTAAATTTTTGGTCCCCATATAGAAACTTTAGGGAGGATAACAACTTTTAGTCTTTATTACTTTCTAGAAAAAACATTTCCAATCTCTTAGGAGTTCCTTAGGTAGGATTTTGGTCTAAAAAAAGGAGAGGATGGGGCAACAGTAGAAGATTCATTATTCTGAATCTACTTAAAAAAAAAAAACACAAAACTTTTTCAGTACCAGAATATTGAGATAATCATAATCCAGGTGAATAATACCCTACAAGATTTTTGTTGAAGGTTCAATGAGATAGTGTTGTGGGGTTGGGGGAGATGGGGGTGGGGAGGGAGGTGTCTGTGTGTGTTATTTAACAATAAACAGTTGGGCAGTTGGGCCAAGAATTATTTTTTCCTGCTGTTTCTGTCTGTGTGACCCAGGGCAGAGTATTTTATTTTCTTAGTCTCAATTTTTCTCATCTGTAAAATGGGAATAATAATAGAATCTACTTTGTTGAATTGTTATGATAACAATATCAGCATCATCATCATCAAATTACATTTTAGTTCTTTTAGCATTATCATCACCACTACCACCACCACCACCACCACCACCATACCCTGCATTCCACTGCTTGTCTCGTCCACTGCTGTATCTTTAGTGTCTGTCACATAATGAGTGCTCAGTATTTTTGCTTCATAAAGGAGTGGAGATGAGAAACAGGAAGGATGAAAGAGGGACTGTCCTTGGTCATGTTGCCCCATTTCCTTGTTTAGTTTTCTGTAAGCACTTGTTAGATTATAATTGGTTATGTCTCACTGCCTGCAGTTTGGGCAAAAATCTATTAAGTTTATCTGTGTCTGAATCAGAAGTTGATCAGTTTTGGCAAGTGATCAAATTCACTGGTTTTTACTATATTTGGAGTTCATGTCATGTAATTTTACCTAGGAAATGACTTCGATATTTAGGTATCAGAGCATAATATAATAAGTACTTGTCCTAAGTTTTCAAAGATTAATCTTGGAATAAAGAGCCAACCCAAGCTGTGATAAAAATCACGTTAACATTGCCATAATATAGTAAGTTGGGCATACTTAAAAAAAAACTACTATATATGAAAGAAACATTCACTCAGCTGGGTCACATAGTAGAGGCACTGTTTAAAACGTTGGCCATTCAGCACACACCATTTCTCACTCTACCTGAAGGGTGTAGTCTGAGTGGAACATTTTTGCTTAGTTAGCTGACAAACGTACACACATTTTCTTGCCTTGGAAATGATTCTTATTTTCCTTTGGGCAACTTATATAATTTTTTCTAGGTTCTCTTAAACATAAGCTGTTTGGAAGGAGGGATTCCCTTTCTGTTCTTTAGCAACTTTTGATCTTTGTAGGAAAAGGCCTTGTGTAATAGCACTATATTGTAATGTATATTTCCCTATTGGTAACTCAGAGTGCTGTTTCCTCTTAACTAGGTGTCTCTTTCCAGCTTCATTTTCCCTGTCTTACTATTTTTTCCTTCTTAAGATATTCCTGAGAGTATCATATTCATCCCATTAGAACACACTAACCCAACGATTTATATGGCTATGGTGCCATGGTGTCTTTGTGTAGCTATTTCTCTCTGGCTATAATTTTATCTTCCCAAAGGACTGCTGTCCTTGAAGCACCTAGGTATTTAAACATGGATTGAAAATAGCAGGAAACAGGAGATGTTGGTTTCTCTTCTAGATCTGTGGACAGGTAAATGTAAAACATTTCCTGGATTTTAGGTTCTACTAGAGCAAAAAGCCTAGTTTAGTATTTTATTTTGTCATTATTATGAAAGCACACATCTAAAAAATAATATAATTTATATTAGAGTGAGGTCTTTTATAGATGAGACAAGCATTGCTGTCCTATCTTCTGGACTGAGGTGGATCAGAGTTCATATATCGTTTACTATGGAGTTGTATAGAATAGAATATGAATCTCCCAACTCTTACTTATGGTGATATCCAGTATATTATAGCCATCCCTGTTGCTTAGACGTGGCTTAGTTTTTCTTAGTAAAAAAAACTCAAATAAGTTAACTAAAAGCACAATGGATCTATTCATTGGTTGGATTAATGATTTTATGATCTTAACTGTTCCCTAATAATGGGTATTATGGAAGATTATGTTACCCCTTGGTCTTATTCTGTCATAGAGTGAGCATTTTTTCCTCTCAATCTATCACTCTAATAAGTAAATTATAAATTATAAGGAAATGTTTGCTGTATTATATTATGCTCTGAATTCTTTAAGGGGTAGGATCAAGTAACCCAGGCTGATGTTCAAAGAGTGACCTAGTTTATGATATGAGCTAGTGAAAAAATACACTTCTACTTTTATTTTCTAGGTGTAAGGCCACTCAAGCTTTGTATCATTAGTTACGTGTCTTAGATACATATTATTAATCAGAATACCTTTGGCAAGTTGAAAATATAAGGACCTTAAAGGATAGCATAATGCTTATCTGAGAAGTACAAGGAGACGTTCTTCAGTATAATATAAAGAACAAGTTAATAGAATTAATTAGTTTCAATATTTTTAAAAAATTCATTTATTTATTTATTTTTTAAGATTTTATTTATTTATTCATGAGAGACGGAGAGAGAGAGAGAGAGAGAGAGAGAGAGATTGGCAGAAGGAGAAGCAGGCTCCCAAGGAGCAGGGAGCCCGATGTGGGACTCGATCCCAGGACCCTGGGATCATGACCTGAGCTGAAGGCAGAAGCTTAACCATCTGAGCCACCCAGGCGCCCCAAAATTTTGTTATTTAAATTCTATTACTTTCAACATTTAATAAATTTGTCAAGAGAGTATTTTAATAATAAAATATGTGACCTTTTCCTTCCATTTTGGAAAAGGTTTTTATTAGCTTATGACTTTCCAGTTGAAGGCATTCAAAAAGCCACGTTGACCCTTATAGTCTGTCATTAGATTGATAAGTCCTTTATGGTTAGTTCCCCATTTTGGTGGTGGGAAGTATATATTGCACGCATTGTGTTTACTCATTGATGGACATGTAATTTGCAACTATTCTTTCCTTCCTTCTCTTCTCAATTCTGTTTTTACAGCAAGCTACTGATGTTGAAGTGGGAACTGACCTTGTCCCTTCAGTCACAGTTAAGGTATTGTACCATGGTTCTAGACTGTATTGTGCAAACAGTATTACACATTTCATCACATCTGCCACTGTTGTCACCCTACGACTGGCTTATGGAAATGTAAAACAAGCACTTGAAATTTACACATTTTCCTCAGCCTTGGGTAGGAAGCATAACCTTTATTGTTTCCTACAAATATAAAACTGATAATTGCATTTGTAGCAATGTTATGTAATATAAATAATTTTTATGGGTTATGCTTAACCATTATGTTTAAATGATCTAGGGTCTTTTTTCTAGAAACAAAATTAGCATTTTAAATATGTTGGAGGAATTGTGTCATCACCATTTATGATAGACCAACCTGTGAATTGCAGCATCATATATATAGGGGAATCATATGAATACTACTATCTTTCTTCTATCTATAATTATGTGTATATTTGAGAAGAATTTCCACTCATCTACCTGCCATATTAACTTTAAATGGATATATTTATAGCAAGAAAATATTAAATGAAGAAGCCACAAAGTAGAGTAATGACAAATTGATAATCCTAAAAAAATAGAATATGAAGGATGTGGTTTTGGTTAAGATTTTTAGTTCTGTCATTGTAGAATTTTAGAACTAGAACTCAAATGTAGAACCCTCTTAAGGCATTTAGATTAAAGCGTGGTAATCAGTCAGCACGTTATTAAGCTGAAAATATTTATCACTGCCCAGACCTTGGAGCCAGGAAAAGTTGTGGATCTTGGCGATTTGCTTAGTTAAAACTTGGACAGGACTTTTTATTTTCTTAGATTATGGGTTGCTGTCCTTGGAGGAGCTTGACAGGGCACCAGGCTTTACCAATTGTGTTCGCTTACACTGGACCCAGCGGGTGGCCCAAGTGTGGGGATCTTTGGTAGAAGTTGAAGGGAGCCCAAACTTGTAACAGTTTCCTAAGCTAATTTTTTTGGATTCTTGCCACTGGAAACAAGGGTGGTCTTTCCCCAGTTCTCCCTCCCCCCATCCAATCAAAGGCTCTATCTCATTAATACCTCTGAGTCTGGAAAAGCAGTAGTGGCAAGAAATCAAACACTTAAAAAAAAAAATGCTGCAGAGTTCCAGGAATGATCTATAGACTTTTGTGTAGAGAAACCTCTTTTTTATCTATCTACCGATACTGTTCAGACACACACACATAATAATTCAGGAGCACACTATAAATTGCAAAAAGAAATCCTGTACTTAAACCAGATAACAGTGCTCATGCTAATTCCCACCCCCCCACCAACTGCTGGTTATTGCTGTAAGTAAATACACCTTTCTCACCTATGCAGTTTTTAGGCTTTCACGTGTAATAATAGCCATCTTAAAATGATGGCATGAAACTACTGGAAAGTTCTTCATTAATGGAATTTTTATATTTGAGAATGACTAAGTCTCAGCTCTCTTCCTTATTGCCATTATTAAGAGCATGAGAAAGAATGCAACACACAAGGGTTGCATAAAATCAGCTGGACTTGTACAGCAGACACAATGACTTCCTGATTCTGTCAGACAGTTTCTATACAAATTTTGCTATAAATCTCTTCTTATAGTTTTTTATAACAACAGCAGCCAAGATATATAACCATGCAAGTTTCCATTATAATAAATCCTGTTAATTGAGAAAATTTTTCCATTCGTTCCAAGTGAATGAAGATGTGGCTACCTTGAGTATGTGTGCACAATGCGTGACCATCTCTTCCAGGCAACTAAGGCGGAGTGGTTGTTCATACCTGGCCTTTGGAGTCATATTTATATATCTAGGATAAAACTTTGGTATTATATTTCCTAAGGATCATATTTCATTTTGTTAGAACCAGAAAACAGCATGGAAAATTCTTATATTAATGTTTTATATTTTCCCCTTAATATTCTGTAATTATTCTTCTCTTAAAATATGAGGTTTATGATCTAGCCAAGTCTTTAACTCTTTTTTTTTTTTTTTTTGGCTCAAATACAAGTCTTCTTTGTTCCTCTAGTTATTTTCATCACACATCTCCTTGGTTCACATTTGAAAATGCCTAGGCCATTGTTGGGGTTTAATAAATCTGTGCATGAGAGCTATCATGATTTTACACAGTGTAAAATTGTGTGATCATTGTCTAAGTACACATTGTTATGCCAGGTGGAGTCAGAATGTCTTTTTTTTTTAAGATTTTATTTATTTGAGAAAGAGAGAGAGAGCATGAGCTGGAGGGGGGAGGGGTAGAGGGGGAGGGAGAATAAGGGGGGCTCAATGCTGGGCTCCATATGGGGCTCCATCCCAGGACCCTGGGATCATAACCTGAGCCACAGGCAGATGCTTCACCAAATGAGCCACCCAGGCGGTCCAGAATGTATGTTCTCTTATAAGCAGCTTATACTTTAAAGATTTTTCATTTTCACTTTTAAAACTAAGCTCTTATGATATATTCATGGTGATAGTTTTCAGTTCTCTTGCACATATTGGCTTATTGGTCTTGGACATGTTATTTAGCTTCTCTGAACCTCTTTTTTTAAACTGTAAAATGAGGATACTTTTTAATTACAGGCTTGTTTTGAGACTTAACCACAGTTGATTAAGAGCATGGACTCTGGATTCTGGCAGACAGAAGTTAAATTGTGGTTCTTTTACTTATAATCAGAGTGGCCTTGGGCAAATTATTTAGCTTCTCTGAACCACAGTTTTCTCTTCTGTAAAATGATGTATAGTGATAGTCCCTGTTTCATGATGTTGTGAAGATTAAATGAGATAATGCACACAAATAATTTATTCACATGGTTCCATGAATATAAAAAGCCGTTAATGGTTATCATTAATATTATTAATTTTATTTAAAAATATATGTATAGACTAGCATTATATTATTATTTATAGTAAAATATTTAAGTTGTATCCTGTTTATTCAGTGGACCTGGCATAATTTATTCTTCCCATAATTACCATCAAGATTTTACTAAAATTTTTTGTTTATAGTGATCAGATATCATGAAGGAAGCTTTGCTTGTGGTATGCAGATTCCCCTCATGTATTCCCAGGGCTTATAAAGTAAAAATTGAGGATTCATTGTTCATTTGATGTATTTATTGTATTTATTTGCATCAATAGTTATCCTTTCAAATTTTATTTTGCAAGTCAAAATTTTTGTGTTTAACTTATTTTTTAAGTTGTATAGACTACCCACATCATTTAAAATGATTGCACGATACTTACTGAATCTAATTATATGTATATAATGTTTCTGGGCCAGTTGTGTATTCCTGTATATTGTTTCTTTCTCTATAGTATGTGTGTGTACGTATATATTATATATATATGAATATATATGTAAAATATATATTAAGGAATAGGTGATACATGCCTTTTACTTAAGAGAAATTTGAAAACTACTTTTCTTAAAAATAAGTGTACCCTTGCACTATGTGAGTTAATAATCACATGTATTTCTCTCATATACTAGAATCTAATAACTCGACTATAAGTTGCTCTACAGCAAAGGTGCCATATAGAAGAGTGCTTCTTAACTCTGGTAGTACATAGGTATCATCTGGGGAGCTAGGAAAAAAAAAAACAATACCCAGAACTACCCCCAGAGATTGTGATTCAGTTGGTATACCAACCCTACCTGGCAGTTGACTGTGGTTAAGTCTGGCTTACCATACCAACCACGTGGATGAACTCATCCAAATGAGACTGTTCAAAGGTTGGGATTTTTAGGACACAGAAGTCCAAAGAGAGAACATGCGCAACGGAACTAAGATCTTTAAGCTTTTTCTTTGATAGCCTGAAAAATGATGCCCCTTAGCACTGTGGCCCAGTAAAAATCCACGGGCCTGATGTTTTCTGCTGCTGTTCCTCCTTAGGGAGTGAGAGAAGTCCTGGCCTTCTTTACCCAAACCTGTCCTACTTCCCAGTCACACTGTTAACCCAGAGTTCTTAGCTTTTGATTCTAATATGGGAGGGTTTTCTTAGCGTCACCATATAAGAGCACCAGTTTAGAAATGCAACCAGCTGAGATATGCAGCAGTCAATATTGCCACTCTTTGATATTTTCTAGAATTAGATCTGTCATGTATTTTTGTGTTAAGCCATGGAATAAAATGTGGTGCTTTGATATGTATCTAGGCTAGTAAATATCCACCTAGTAAGGAAATCTTTAGAGAATAATTAATTTATGCAAAAGATGGTATGCAGATACTACATAAGATAATCCCATTGCCACATCTATACGTAAAAGAAAATGAATACATATTTCATGATGTAATTATTCACCAAGTGCAGGGCAGATTTTTCCTTTTTTTTTTAAATATGTTTATTTATTTAAAAAAATTTTTTTAAAGATTTTATTTATTTATTTGACAGAGAGATAGAGAGAGAGTACAAGTAGGCAGAGAGGCAGGCAGAGGGAGAGGGAGAAGCAGGCTGTCTGCTGAGCAGGGAGCCTGATGCGGGGCTCGATACCAGGACCCTGGTATCATGACCCGAGCCAAAGGCAGCCGCTTAACCAACTGAGCTACCCAGGCGCCCCTCTTTAAAAAATTTTTAAATTAACATATAATGTATTATTTGTTTCAGGGGTACAGGTCTGTGATTCATCAGTCTTACACAATTCGGTGCTCACCATAGCACATACCCTCCCCAATGTCCATCACCCAGCCACCCCACCCCTCCCACCCCCCTCCCCTCCAGCAACCCTCAGTTTGTTTCCTGAGATTAAGAGTCTCTTATGGTTTGTCTCCCTCTCTGGTTTCATCTTGTTTCATTTTTCCCTCCCTTCACCTATGATCCTGTGTCTTGTTTCTCAAATTCCACATATCAGTGAGATCATATGATAATTGCCTTTCTCTGATTGACTTATTTCACTTAGCATAATACCCTCTAGTTCCATCCACATCATTGCAAATGGCAAGATTTTGGTTTTTTTTTTTTTTTTTGGGCCCTAAAATATCAGTGTGTGTGTGTGTGTGTGTGTGTGTGTGTGTGTGTGTACACACCACTTCTTCTTTATCCATTCATCTGTTGTTGGACATCTTGGCTCTTTCCATAGTTTGACTCTTGTGGACACTGCTGCTATAAACATATCAGACTCAACACCCAAAGGACAAATAACCCAATCAAGAAATGGGCAGAAGACATGAACAGATATTTTTCCAAAGAAGACATGCAAATGGCCAACAGACACATGAAAAAGTGCTCAACATCACTCAGCATGAGGGAAATCCAAATCAAAACCTCAATGAGTTACCACCTCATACCAGTCAGAATGGCTAAAATTAACAAGTCAGGAAACGGCAGATGTTGGCGAGGAGGCGGAGAAAGGGGAACCCTCCTACACTGTTGGTGGAAATCCAAACTGGTGCAGCCACTCTGGGAAACAGTAGAGAGGTTCCTCAAAAAGTTGAAAATAGAGCTACCCTATGACCCAGCAATTGCCCTACTGGATATTTACCCCAAAGATACAAATGTAGTGATCCAAAGGGGCACGTGCACCCCAGTGTTTATAGCAGCAATGTCCTTTGCTTTTTATAAAACATTTTAATGGTTTTATTGAGATATAATTCATATACCATACAATTTACTCATATAAAGAATTCAATTCAGTGATTTTTATTATATTTGCGGAGTTGTGGAACCATCACCGGAATTTAATTTTAGAACATTTTTGTCCCCTTAAAAGTAACCACATGCTACCTTTCATCTTCCATGGTCCACCCCTCCCCCGTTCCCATCCCTCAGCGGCTTCTAATCTATTTTCTGTCTCTATAGATTTGCCTATTCTGGACATTTCATATAAATGGAATCATACAATATGTGGTTCTTTGTGACTGGCTTCTACCCCTTAGCACAATGTTTTTAAGGTTTACCCATGTTATAGCATGTGCCAGTACTTCATTTCTTTTGATTACTGAATACACTGAATACTATTTCATTGTAAGGATATACCATATTTTGTTTATCCGTTCATCAGTTGATGGACATTTGGGTTGTTTCTACTTTTGGCTATTGTGAAGAATGCTGCTATGAAATCTGTGTACAAGTTTTTGGGGGGACATATATTTTCATTTCTCTTGGCATGGAATTGTGAGGTCATATGGTAAATTTATGTTTAATTTTTTAAGAAACTGTCAAACCTATTTTCTTGCATGGCTATACCATTTTACATTCCCATCAGCAGTGTATGAGGTGTTTTTCCTCACATTCTTGCTAACACCTATTTTGTGTCTGTTCTTTTGAATACAGCATTTTAGTAGATGTGTAGTAGTATCTCATTGTGGTTTTAACTTGTATTTCATAGTGATTAAAGATATTGAGCATGTTTTCATCTGCTTGTTTAGCCATTTCTATATCTTCTTTGGAGGGAAGTCTGTTTAACTCCTTTGTCCAGTTTCTAACTGGGTAGAAATTACCACTTACCTACTTACCAATTAATCTACTATTTATGTTACATGTTATGTTTGTCACTACTCATTTTTTCTCACAATGTTTCCTAATTATTTGCTAATGATTTTTTACATACTTTTGCTATCCTATCAGTTTGGATAAAATGTAATTTTCTATTAATAACAATTTCTGTTTCCTTAGGTCACATTGCAGAATCGACTGGCACTGCAAAAAGCCAAATTATCAGTCTATGTGCAACCACCTTTAGTATTGACCTGTGATCAGTTCACCTTTGAATTTATGGGTAAGTGTTCTGTTTTGGCTTAAAGTCTATCATGGTGTGAGGTTTTCTTTTAATTAAAAAAAATTTTTTTTAGTTAGTATGTTTATTTCATGGCTTATATTTCTTGTCTGAATAAGTGAGGCTGGTATCTTTCTAAAATCAGTGATTGTGTTGTTTTGCTTATATTTTCCCTCCAAACATCAAGCATGAATGATACTTTTTTAAAAAATAGCAATATTCAGTGAATGGTCATTGAGCTGAAGTAATTATAGATTTTCAAGTGCTTTCCTTAACTGGATGGGCCTGTAATTGTATTTAAATACAATTTAAATGTTTCTCTAGTGAGCTGTTTATTGAATCAGTTATGTTTGAAGAAAGAATATTGGCTTTGGAGTCTGGCCTGAATTTGAATTCTGGCTCTGACACTTACTCGATGTGTAACCTTCGTCAAACTACTTTAGTAATTACTTGGAACCTCCATTTCTTTTAATCTGCAGAAAGGGGATAGTGATATCTGTCTTGCAGGGCTGTTTTGCGGATTTAATTAGAAAATGAAGCTGTGTAAGATACCTGTAATAATGCCTAAAATAGTAGACAGGTCATAAATGGCCACTTTTGGTAAGATTTCTTTGCACAGAATCTCTCATGTCCTATCATTTGCATCCCAGTTGTCATTAGTCCCATCAAAATGATTTCTGTTTATCTTTCTAGTCTTTTTCTTTCTTTGTTTACTGCTGTTGTTCAGCTGGTCATTCTATATCTTATTCATGGAGTCAAGAACATATTTCTCTCTTTTGCCTTTGTATTATCAACCCTTACTTGAGTGCGCCAGACAGATAGGGGGAATTCAATAAAATATTAATTGAAACACTGAATGAATGGTCGAATGGTTGAAGTAACCTTGTAGGTGAGAATCATTGGATTTTCACTTTATTTTCTATTCTTTTCACAATACTTACAATTTGTCTTTCTTTTTTTATTATTATTTTTGTATATTTTTATTTTTTATTTTATTATGTTAATCACCATACATTACATCATTAGTTTTTGATGTAGTGTTCCATGATTCACTGTTTGCACACAACACCCAGTGCTCCATTCAGTACGTGCCCTCTTTAATACCCATCACCAGGCTAACCCATCCCCCCATGCCCCTCCTCTCTAGAACCCTCAGTTTGTTTCTCAGAGTCCATAGTCTCTCATGGTTCGTCTGCCCCTCCGATTTCCCCCCCTTCATTTTTCCCTTCCTACTATCTTCTTTTTTTTTTTTTTTTAACATATAATGTATTATTTGTTTCAGAGGTACAGGTCTGTGATTCAACAGTCTTACATAATTCACAGCACTCACCATAGTACATACCCTCCCCAGTGTCTATCACCCAGCCACCCCATCCCTCCCACCCCCCACCACTCCAGGGTATTATGCTAAGTGAAATAAGTCAATCAGAGAAAGATATGTATCATATGATCTCACTGATATGAGGAATTCTTAATCTCAGGAAACCAATTTGTCTTTCCAAAACACATTCTGAACAATTTATTTTTCCAGTTAAAAACCTCTTAAGACTGCCTAACACAGGTTGGAGGTCCAATACATGAATATAGAAGTCTATGTACAATCTGCAAAGTTGTTACAGTTACAGTTACATCCTTATGCAGTCCCCCCTCCCATTTTCCCCTGCAGTCAGTATTCTAGCCATGATAAAGTGTACTAATCCCTGTTCCCAGATTCTCTTGCCTTTTTGTGTACATATTTCTCTGATCATGCTGCCTATTCATCTGACTAAAGACAAGCAGTGATGTGGAATATGGGCACCCTTGTTCTGAAGTCAGTTTCCAGTTCTCTGTTAGCTGTATGACCTCGGGCAAGCTTCTTAATCTCTCTGTAGCCAGTCTCCTCATGCACAAAAGTTGGGGACAATAATAGTGCACACCTTACTGGGTTATTGTGAGGATTAAATAAATTAATCCATGTAAAGTGCTTAGGATACTAGCTGGCATGTAGTGTATGCATAATTTTAACTGTTGTTAATAATAATTGTCCAAAATTTTGTAACTTAATATTACTTTTACATTGCTTATAGCACCAGAGATGAGTAGAACAGTATCGTTTTCTGTTTATCTGAAAGGGAGTTATACACCACCTCAGTTGGAAGGAAATGCTGTTGTTTCTTATTCCAGACCATCAGGTAAGCACGCAGTTGTTCACAGATTTATAAGCCTAATTACTCCTTTTAAAATATTGGGGTTATGAGTAAAATATTTAAGTGTTTAAGACTGAAAAACACATTGTAAAATATTACTAAATGGAGAAATAATTCTTTCCTAGTGTTAAATGAAATTGTATGTCCAAATTACTGTTGTGTGTTATAAATTATTAGAGATAAGTCTATTTAGCTGATTTCCACATATAATGTTTGATTCTGTCTTCTCAATTAATAGCAAATATGATATATTTTTATTCACACTCAAAGAATGGTATTAGACTTCACTTATTTGTACAAAGAAGAAAAGCCTTGTCTGAATTAGTGAAAAAGACTATTATGAAATGCTCTAATATAAAGCAGTATTCAGAGTTTCAGAGACTGTTCTAATGACTAAATAAAACTCTTTAGTATCGTACGTGTTAAAATATTTAAGAACAGATTTACTACAATTTGATCTGTGCTTTTTCAAGGAACTCTTTTTAAATTAAAAACGTTATCTTCAGTCCAGTTGAGATTCAGTTAGTGTAAATTTCAACTTCGTTTGGTTAAATTTTATAGTTTGTTTTTTTCCCTGTGCAGTGAATTTTTCATATTAACTGTTTGACAATCTGTTTATTGGTAGAATATGAATAATTAGTCATTGCTTTTTTTTTCAATGTTTTAACGTAGTGTAACTGATAATAGGATATTTTAGCAAGGTTGCATTTGTGTTTTTTAAACATTTCTGTACAGTTTTTTTAGTTCTAAAAGTTTTAGAGATGCCTTGATTATCTTTTTCTTTTCTACTGATGTCCACTTTGTGTATTTAGCAATGTTTTTTAATAATTATAGTTTTAATTTTGTCTAAGTGAATTTTCTGGCTTATGCATTGACAACCCTGTACTCTAAGATAACGTTATCACTTTAATACATGTTTTCAAAATCTACTTCTTCTGCTTTGTAAGTTATTTTGCTTTAAGTTGTTAAAAAAATTCATTATTAACCAGTATTGACCATTTTAATCATTTATCTATATTTTCAAAATCTGGGGTTATGTAAATATTTTATGTTTAAATGACTTTGAGGAAGCTGGCTTCAGAAAGAAATACAAAACTTCCATAAGGCATCAAAGAGAGACTTCTTTAGTTGGATATTTCTGAAAAGAACATTGAAAGTTTTAGTGTTATTTTAATTTTGAGTTGTGAAATAAAAAAGAAAGAAATATTTGGCTAAAATCTCTAGATCGTTTATCATTAATTGAGCGTCTCAATAATCATAGGCACTTTTACACTTTTTATCCTTGTTACACTTCAAGTATGTGTTGTAGAGACTGTTGATGCCTTAATTCAACTAAGTATTTCATTTGTTTTCAGGGAAAGGGGTGACACTGGTTGAATATGAATTTAAAATAGAGAAATAGGTTACATAGCAAGTGGACAAAATGCTTTAAAAATATGTTATAAAGTTGTAAAATCAGTCTGTGATCTTATGGTTATACATACCATTTTTAAAACTAGTATGCTTTTCTATAGACAGAATTTAAAAGATTATAAATTATTGCTAAACCAAAGAGAATAGCATTAATTAGTTGAAAGTTAATTAGAAATTAAAATGTAAAAAAAGTCTATAAAAATAAAGGAATACCAAGACAAGCCAAAAACAAAAAGACATTATAATATAAGTGAGAGTAACTGGAAATACTGTGTATTTGGCATTTCCCTCAAATTTTTTTCCCAACAATTCATTTAATCCTCTTGATGTCATTTACATATTGAGTCTGGTTTGCTCTTGATCTAGATCATATACCTTATGACTTTTTTTTTTGCCACATTTACACTGAAATAACACACTGTCATTGACTTCTGAGAATGAATGTACAAATATATTGTTAGATTTCACTTATTCATGTTATATTCTTCAGTTGTGAATTGACTTATTTTTATTGGGGGCCACTTAAATCATCTGAGAGAATCTCAAAAATTTTAATTCATTTATATATATATTTTAATTTTATTTTATTATGTTATGTTAATCACCATACATGACATCATTAGTTTTTGATGTAGTGAACCATGATTCATTGTTTGCATATAACACCCAGTGCTCCATGCAATACGTGCCCTTTTTAATTTATATTTTTAAGCAGATGTGTATTAAATTTGTGTTGTAATTTTACCACAAATAATTTGTTGCATTCTTTCTCCCCTGTCCTTTTTTGCATTGCCTCTGGTGGATAGATCGAAATCCTGATGGTAAGTGAAAAGATAATTTAGAACAAAATGAATTTCAGAATTGAAATTTGGTCAGTGAATTAACTGGTATTATACCATGAATGAACTATTTTTATAGACTGCTATTTTAACTATAGAAACTTCTTTAGGATGATTCAGTGCCTTCATGTGGCTATGGAGAGGATCATAAATGTTTCCTTACATAGAGACTTGTCATTCATTATTAGTTGTTTCAGAGTCATGAAAAAGGATGAAGCTCCCTGACTTTTTTGGAAAAAAAAAATCAAAAGTGTCATTGACCACTTATATCTGTAAGTTATTGGTGATTTACTCATATGCTCTGCTATCTTATTTTACTTAAAATAAAGAAAGAATAAGGAAAAAATGGTGTTCGTCACTGAATTCTCATCGTCTGTTTTCTTTTTCTTTCTTTCTTTCTTTCTTTCTATCTTTTTTTTTTTTTTTTGTAATTGATTGAGGGCTGGGGCAAAGTGGTCAAAATGTCACTAGGGTATAGGGAAAGGATAGGCCCTGTGAGGTCTTTTTGATCATGCTAGTGGTTTTGATGTTTATTCTGTGACCAAAGGGTAGCCACTAAATGGTTTTAAGTATGTCATGAAGTGCGTGGATGTGAACATGCACACATATGCTTTTGCCCCAGAAAGGACAGGAACAGATTTGTATTTTGGAAAGATCACTCTGACTCAGTGTGAAGAACTGGTTTTGAAGCCAAATTGCCTGTCAGAAGTGCAACTGGAGGTTATTGCAGTGGAGTAGAGTAGAGGTGTTGGAGATGGGGCAGAGACCTATTCAGGCTTCAGCTCAGTAGCAGTGAACACCTCTGTTGCAGAGATCTTCATATCTGAGTACCATCTCTAGTCAAAGGGATCAGGGTTCTTAGAGAAAAGGCTGTTTCCAGGTCTGGAGAAGGGAAAATAAGAGAGTCTGTTCTATATTGTTGGGTCAGAGAGCAAAGAAGTGGTCAAGAGAAATGATCACAGTACCTCACAATGATTCAGAAGCCGGTGGAGGAGTTTCCACTGGCTAGATATGGGACATTTTGAGCATCAAAATCATAATAATGGTAATTTATTATAATATATTGAAGACAGAACTAGAATCTGTCAGTACGGTGATAAAATAAAGGCACGTATAGAAGGAAAACTCTGCAAAAGGAGGTCAGCTAATAAGTGTAGAATGGGTGATAGAATTAGAGAATCATTATTTTGCAAAACCTTTGTAATAATTAGTTCAGGAAAGATTCATCAATGGACACTAAATTCATTGGAGTAATAGAATATTCAGTCTCAAAACATTACCTCATGGATTACTTTTTAATTACAAGGAGAAAACAATCTCTACAGGAGTGGTTTGGTAACACTACCATAACCAAGTGATCAATGTTAGTGTCATTAATATCAGCACAAACTGACATTATATACTACCTGTACTGATGCACACATCTTTTGAGACATACAGATTTTCTGTTTTCTATATGTCCGAATAGATCCACTGCTCTCTCTAATCAGAGCACCACAAGCACTTATTCTGTCGGCCTATTTCTTATCTTGTTTAGAATTTGTGGGGCAATGTCATCAAGGTTCTGACCCCTTGAACTTACCTGGGCCAATGTTGATTGTTACCTATTTTGTTTTCCCCCAATCCTTTATGTATGACTGTGCTGCAATACCAGTCATAATATGAATTTCAATAAGTTTGTTCCTTAGGTTTCCCTAGTAGATTTTGGGCTCCTCGGGAGCAGGGTTTAAGTACTCATCTTTGAATTGTGCGATGTCAGGGTAGATGACAGGCACTTAGAGTATGTCCTACTTTGACTATTTTTCTTTCTCAACACAGACTTAGTATGGTGGTTTATTAGATATTTTGAGATAAATATTAGATAACAATATTAATTAGTAATAAATAAATACTTAAAAAATAATGGCAGTAATTTACTCATACAGTTTTGGTAATGCCAACAACTTGAGTTGCATTGTATCTGGGAAGTGAAAATATATTTATATGAGAAACATTTTAATAGGAGTAAGTGTTTAGCTTAATAACATGAAATATACTTGTCAAATTGGGATTTTGGGTTATTAAAAATAACTGATTATTAACAATAAATATTTACATTTTACTTGGCAAGTTTGGATCTAGCTAGTAAGATTTTATACTAACTTTTGTAAAATACCATATTATTTAAATGATTAATTTTAACTTTAAGAAACTGGTTAAGGTTATTATTGAAAGGAATTTACTCCCTCTTACTGTAACTTCAGTCCAAACCACGAGAAAAAAAAAATCACAATACATGGAAATTTTTGTATTTCAATACAAAGCTAATAATCTCTTATGATATATTTTTAAATTATAATTAAGCTTTACAGAGTAGGGTTACAATATTCAGCTTCACCTAGTTGGCAAGATTAAATAATATATTGCTACTTAGATCTTAACTTACACACAAGGCTTCAAATTTCAAAGACTGGTCCATTTTATTGGCCTGATCTGTTCAGGCTCTTTGCAGATAAGCAGTCCTGCTTTTACATGTGGAAAAAGAGAAGCAAAGGAGGTTTTATGTTGTCCCATAAGAGTTAGTCTCCATTATGTCTGCATTAAAGTTACATGACATGGGCAGTGTAAAACATGACTGCAGATGGGGCACAGTACGTAGCCAGACATAACAGGAAGGGATCAAGGAAGTTCTGGCTCCCAGACATTGCTACTGCTTTGGGGTTCCTTGTTTTCAAAATGAAATGACTCTAGCAGGCCCCTGGAAAGAGTTCTGAAGGCATTATATAGATGTGTAATATATATAGTTATTCTACTCTGATATATATGTTCTTTTCTCCTCCCCCCCGCCAAAGCACATTTGGTTTCTCTCTTGACAGTGATACTGGGCTCTTGGGTGTGCCAGGTGTAATTAGAATTGTCTTCCTGGAGAAATTGTTCTGTCAAGAGTGGATTTAGTGTGAATTTTCTTTCTAAGTGTTAAATAATTTTGTGATTAATTGCACCAGAGTAGTTGCGACTATCCATTTCCTCTGTTAGGCTAGAAAGGGAAGTGTCTGAAGGAGAGGTGATTATATTTGGTAAAAAACTGCAGAACAAAGTCATTCTGATGAACGAGTAGGCCAATATTTGAGTATTATAAATGACATTTTTTTTTCTCAGCAAAACAGAGAGTTATTTGAATAAGCCAGATACAGAGACTGTTTTTCCAACTACATAGAGAAAATATCACTGATGGTAGGCAAAGTTAGGATCAATTAGACTTTCATCTAAGTCAAAAGCTATTCTAGTAGCAAATTTGAAAAGTCTTTAAATACATGCAATTCTTTCTTTCCTTATTATAGGTACATATATGCATGCATTCACACATACCTCTATACCTCTGGCTTCAGGTTCTTAGATGCAATCACAGCCTGAAGAGTAAATTGTTAGCAAATTTTCATTTCAGGTTTTTCAAGAAAGCATAAAGCTCAATAGAAATGTGCCTCTGATAAACTCCATGTCTAAATACTGGAGATTGTATTTTAAAAGACTGGGGTTTTAATTTAATGGAAAGTAGTGTTAAATACTGGCATTACAATTTTTCTTTTTAAAGATATGGTTTCCTTAAACTGGTTTTTAAAGGATTTCATTTTCCCCCCACCCCCCACCAATGGTAAAACTTTTCAAGCTGCCAGCATTTAAAGAATAGCCATAATCATTTTATTAAGTATGAGTGTCATCATTTTTCAAAATAATGTTTTCCAAATGTCCTATGAAACAGGTTTACAGTTCTTGGAGAGAAAAGCAATTATGGAGGGTTTCTACAAATCTTAGCAACTGCAGACCATTGCCCTAGTGTGTGATACTGTCATTAACTGACTTGAGTTGTGAATTGAGTTATAATGTATTTCCCTTCTTGGGTTCATTAGTGTTTGCAAGCCATTTGTTTCAATTTCTGAAAACATATATATATGACCAGTTACTTTAGCTCTAGGTTCTTGGAAATTTAGGGTAACTCAGTAACATAAGACATAACATATAGACTCAGTAACATAAGGCCAGTGTTATTGATTGTGATTAATTTTTTTTTTTTTTTTACCACCAACTCAAATAGTATCTATCTGATCCAAGTGAAGTAGAGCCACAGTTTTAGCAGTATAGTTTCAGAAGGACATTTATAGTCAAATTTTGTTTGAACACTTAGCTCAGACTTTGGGTGAAAGTATATAGAAAGGTAGCTTCTCTTCGTGCCTGTACAGAATTGTCAAAAGATGACGGATTTTTTTCCATTACTACATTCATTAAAAGTGAAGGAAATGGAAATAGGTTTTAGTGTCTTTGTTCTTTCCAGGCCGCATCTATTAATTGAGGCTGTAATTTATATATTGTAGAGGAAACATATTAGTAGGTATATTTCCATAATTTGGAGTTATATGGAATATATGAAGTTGGAAAAAATGCTTTGTAATATTTTTATGGTGATATTGATGGTTGTGGTTTGAGCAGTAGCTTAGATCATGTTACCATAATATTTTGAGACAAAACATTTCATCATTGTAAAGTACAAATACACATGCCTTTAAAACCTCAGAGAATGTCAGGAAATAATGCCTTGGGACTTTTCTGAAGAGACACCAGTTATAATTTGCATCTAGGATTCCAGGAGAAGTGAATTTAACATCTGTTGGTTTTGAGCAAAAAATGAGCTATGTAAAATTTAATGGATAATAGATTATGTTGAAGAGAATCACAAATAGGCTCCACATGCTCTGAAAAAGTATTTAATTGACCTCATATATCAGTATGCTTGCCATTGTTGAGATCTCTCACTATCCTCTTGAATAAGTAGTGCTGGAAAGTGTACTCCCAGCTTGGATGTCAAGCAAGCCCCACAACTCCAATTGGCATTAACAGAATATATCGCTAATTCTAGGGATTCTGCTTTGGGATCATGTCCCCAAGCTTTAACTGCTTCTGCTTTTGCTATTTTTAGGCTGCTCACTGACTCCACTATAAAGAGATAAAGGAATTAATGTGTGGCTACATCAAGTAAAGTAGGACGTTTTAAGTTTTTCATTTCTCTACAGCAATATACTAAGATAGAGGTTTCAGTATATTACCTTTTATCTTATCCAATCAAAGGTGGAATCCTAGAATAAAAGGAGAGAACAATGAAGTTGTAGAAATGGCTTTGCTAGATTTATAAGTAAAGAACCTAATTTGCTTTGGTTTCAATTTCATTCTCTGTAAAAATATTGAAAGGAATGATTTTTTTTTTTTTAAAGATTTTATTTATTTGAAAGAGAGAGACACAGCGAGAGAGGGAACACAAGGAGGGGGAGTGGAAGAGGGAGAAGCAGGCTCTGTGCTGAGCAGGGGCCAGATGCTGGGCTCGATCCCAGGACCCTGGGATCATGACCTGAGCCAAAGGCATACGCTTAATGAGTGAGCCATCCAGGTGCCCCTGAAAGGAATGATCTTAAAAACTTTTAATTTTGACATAAAACTCTTAATTGTTATTTATTTAATTATGTTTTTTAATATGCCTGTAAATGTACTAAAAAATTCAGTTGAATGACCATGTAATACTTTCAAAATGTCACTTAACAGTGATATGTAAAGTTAAATGGATTGAGAAAAATTTAATTCATATGAAAGTAATATTCTTAATATTACTGTGTAAAATGACATGAACTTCAGTAGAACTACAGTAGAGCAAATTCTGCCTTCATGTTTATAATTTATTGTAGATTTTTAATTGTAATTTGAATCTTCAAGAAGTAAAAATAGCTAAAGATTTAAATTTTTTGGTGGTAGAAAAAATATTAGATAAGGTCATATAGCATCTTCCTGATACAGATTTCATATACATATTTGCTCATTTTAGGGGCTAGAGATTTGAAGGTCTTAGTTTAAAGATGGTTCAGTAATTGAATATAAAATTGAATTAACTGGTTTTTTTTGCCTCTTTAAAAATTTTTTAAATTTTAAATTCAATTAATTAACATATAGTGTATTATTAGTTTCAGAGGTAGAGTTCAGGGATTCATCAGTCTTAATGTAGTACCCAGTGCTCATTACATCACGTGTTCTCCTTAATGTCCATCACCCAGTTACCCCATCTCCAGCCCCCTGCCCTCCAGCAACCCTCAGTCTGTTTCCTGTGATTAAGAGTCTCTTATGGTTTGTCTCCCTCTCTGAGTAAATATACTGTGTTGTATAGTGTTCACCTGTGATGATTTTTAAAGTATGCTCTTATATTAAAGACAGACCTCATGCCTATGCTCTTTTTTAGGATTTTATTTTTGTCTTGAACTTTTTGACAATAATATAAAAATATGTATTATGATAATACTTTGTAGTTTTTTCAGTTATGCTAAATGAAATGGGCCAGAGCAAAATTTTAAGATAAGATATATTGCTACTCAAACTATTAATATAGTTCAAATTTTTTGGGGTCAAATTTTCTGTCAAGTCTATGAATCTACATTTCTCTCTTTTTATTTCAGGCATTCCTCGGGTTATCCAATGTAAATTTAGACTTCCCCTGAAATTAATCTGTCTACCAGGTCAGCCTTCAAAAACTGCAAGCCACAAACTAACTATTGATACCAACAAATCTCCAGTTAGTCTTCTCAGTCTCTTTCCAGGTAGGACTTTTGAAGTAACATGCCTATAACATCAGAAATGTTAAGAATTCAGAATGGAATCCTTCATCAGCAGGTAATGATAGGGTAATTATCAGATAATTGTTAAGTCAGAATATAAAAATGTCTCAAAGATTTTTCTTTCTTGTTTGCCTGTTCAAGGGCAAATAGCTTATATCAACAAGGTAATAAGGTGTACCTTTTAAGTTTGATTAAAATTATTAAAATCATTTTGCTTCAGTATTCAGAAATGAAAACATCAAATGTTTCTTTTTAGACTGTGGAATTTTTTTGGCTTGGAATGTAAATATTTATTATTCATCTTTATTGTAGGTTTTATATTCTATGCCCCTAAAAAGTAATCTCGTAAGTAGATGCTCTTTGTGGTTTTGCTTTCTCCAGCAGCTGGAGAGGGCGATTGTTCAATTCTCTGGTTCTGATCCTTTGAAAGAGGTTTCGTATATAAAGCTTGAATATCACAGTGAATTTGGGGTAATTTGTGAAGGTGTGACTTTCTCCAGGTATCAGTTTTTCTTTCTGAGTAGCTTAGACAAGAGAGAGATGTTGATTGGATAAAACATCTTTAGTAACCAGGGTTTCTAATCCTGATGATGGGGTGGCATTAAAAAAAAATTTGGGAATTAAATCAACCTTTTCAAATCCCTTATTAAAAATTGGCACTGTTGACTATGATACGCATCCTCACCCAGGCATTAGTGGATAGGATTTAGAATACAAAGAGTATTTTCCACAAGGTTTAGAAATTTATGGTAAGTCAACTTTCGTGTTATTAACTACTTAAAGTGCTTAAAATTTATTTCTCATTAATTTGAAGTGTTTAAAAAGCTTTATTTATATCTAACTCAATGAAAAATCTCCAAAATTAAATACTCTTTATTACAACTAATGTATTCTTTAGTTTGAATTCAGTTTGGACACACACACACACACACACACACACACACACACACACACACACACTTTGTTAGCAAATATTTTTATACTGTTTGGTTTCTTTCTCCTTTTCCTTTCCCTTCTCTTTCTTCTCAATTTTCTTATAACACATTTGGGTTATAAAAAAGGTGGAAAGAGCCACTATCCTTACAACATCTTATACAAATGTATTAGTTCCTTGGGTCTCCTATACTGTCCTGGGAATATAGTCGGAAATGGCATGCTGCACACTGAATTTATTTGAAAAATGTTTAAGACCTTGGCTTCTGAGTGGGTGATTTTTACTGTAAGTGGATGAAAACCAACAGAGATTGAATAAAAATGGATGCTTTTAACCAGAGAGGTAATCTCTGTAAGATATGGATTAGACAAGAAGAACTAAGGAAAGCTTAGATAACTCATCCATTTTCCTCCTGATTTTAGTCTCAATTGTTTTTATGTCACAGGTTATCTTAGGCTTATCAGCATATTTTTGCTTCTTACTTACTCTAGGCATTACTCAATGACAAATTAAAAAAATTTTTCCCCCAGATCCAATGTATATGATTTGGCATGTTCTGTTTTGGAATTGTTGGATGTGCATTCATATTGGACATGATGGAATCCTGTAATTATTTAAAATAAGTACTCTTCTTACTTTTTCACTTTTTACTTCTTGAGAGTGCTTTTTACTCTTGGTATGTATAAGACTTTCTACATTGATGTCAGATAAATTTGCTATTGCGAATCTGTTTTTTAGCTGAAGTAAACCAATTAATGAGCTTCACAGAGAAGAAATAAAACTAGATTTAATCTACATCTCTTCCTATTTGTTTATTTCAGTTCTTTGTTCTGAACAAATATAGGTATATTTACAATAACTTTAGTTTTTCTTATTACAAAAGAAATGTGAAATTTAGAAATGGACAACCAAAAGGAGGAAAACAAAAATTACTGGTAATTCCACCATCCAGCAATGTCTACTTATGTTTCATGACATTTGCCTAATCTTTTTTTTTTAATTATGTCATGTTAGTCACCATACTAAAAAACTATCATCATTAGTTTTTGATGTAGTGATCCATGATTCATTGTTTGCATGTAACACCCAGTGCTCCATGTAATACATGCCCTCCTTAATACCCATCACTGGGCTAACCCATCCCTCCACCCCCCTCCCCTCTAAAACCCTCAGTTTGTTTCTTGGGAGTCCACAGTCTCTCATGGTTTGTCTCCCCCTCCGATGTCTCCCCCTTCATTTTTCCCTTCCTTCTCCTAATGTCCTCTATGCTATTCTTTGTTACACAAATAAGTGAAACTATATGATAATTGACTTACTCTGCTTGACTTATTTCACTTAGCATAATCTCCTCCAGTCCCATCCATGTTGAGGCAAAAGTTGGGTATTCATCCTTTCTGATGGCTGACTAATATTCCGTTGTATATATGCACCACATCTTTTTTATCCATGCGTCTGTTGAAGGGCATCTTGGCTCTTTCCACAATTTGGCTTTTGTGGACATTGCTGCTATGAACATTGGGGTGCATGTGGCCCTTCTTTTCACTACATCTGTGTCATTGGGGTAAATACCCAGTAGTGCAAATTCTGGGTCATAGGGTAGCTCTATTTTAATTTTTTGAAGCACCTTCACGCTGTTTTCCAAAGTGGCTGTACCAACTTGCATTCCCACCAACAGTGTAAGAGGGTTCCTCTTTCTCCACAACCTCTCCAACATTTGTTGTTCTTGCCTTGTCAATTTTTGCCATTCTAACTGGTGTCAGGTGGTATCTCAGTGTGGGTTTTGATTTGAATTTCCCTGATAGCTAATGATGATGAACATTTTTTCATGTGCCTGTTAGCCATTTGTATGTCTTCTTTTGAGAAGTGTCTTTTCATGTATTCTGCCCATTTTTTGACTTGATTATTTGTTTTTTGGGTGTTGAGTTTGAGAAGTTCTTTCTAGATCTTGGAAATTGGTGCTTTGTCTGTACTGTCACTGCAAATATCTTCTCCCATTCTGTGGGTTGCCTCTTTGTTTTGTTGCCTGTTTCCTTTGCTCTGCAGAAACTTTTTATTTTGATGAAGTCCCAAAAGTTTATTTTTGCTTTTGTTTCCCTTACCTTTGGAGACATGTCTTGACAGAAGTTGCTGTGGCCAATGTCGAAGAGCTTACTGCCTATGTTCTCCTCTAGGATTTTGATGGATTCCTGTCTCACATTGAGGTCTTTCATCCATTTTGAGTTTATCTTTGTGTATGGTGTTAGAGAATGGTTGAGTTTCATTCTTCTACATGTGGCTGTCCAATTTTCCCAGCACCATTTATTGAAGAGACTGTCTTTTTTCCATTGCATACTTTTTCCTGCTTCGTCGAAGATTATTTAACCATAGAGTTGAGGGTCCATATCTGGGCTCTCTCTTCTGTTCCATTGATCTATGTGTCTGTTTTTGTGCCAGAACCATGCTGTCTTGGTGATCACAGCTTTGTAATATAGCTTGAAATTGCATTGCCCTAATCTTTATAAAAATATCTTTCATTATCCCCAAAGGATTTTACTTTGCATAATGCTGTGAAGTATTTTTCTATATAATTAGATATTTTTATTACATAATTTTAAGGATTGCATAATATCCTATCATAAATCCATACTATAAAATCATTCGGCCAGCATTATGTTTTTGACATGTTATTTTCAGTTTATTAATATTGTAGATATATTGTAGCAGTACTCTTTCAAATTTATTATTACTTCTTCGATGAATATCTAAAAGTGAAATTAGACAGTCAAAAAAAGGATAAGAATATTTTTATTTATTTTTATTTTTAGTTTATTTTCAATTTTTTATTGTTATGTTAATCACCATACATTACATCATTAGTTCTTGATGTAGTGTTCCATGATTCATTGTTTGTGCATAACACCTAGTGCTCCACGCAGAATGTGCCCTCTTTAATACTCATCACCAGACTAACCCATCCCCCCACTCTCCTCCCCTCTAGAACCCTCAGTTTGTTTTTCAGAGTCCATCGTCTCTCATGGTTCGTCTCCCCCTCCGACTTACTCCCCTTCATTCTTCCCCTCCTGCTATCTTCTTCTTTTTCTTTCTTCTTAACATATGTTGCATTATTTGTTTCAGAAGTACAGATCTATGATTCAACAGTCTTGCACAATTCAGAGCGCTCACCATAGCACATACCCTACACAGTGTCTATCACCCAGCCACCCCATCCCTCCCACCCCCCACCACTCCAGCAACCCTCAGTTTGTTTCCTGAGATTAAGAATTCCTCCTATCAGTGAGGTCATATGATACATGTCTTTCTCTGATTGACTTATTTCACTCAGCATAACACCCTCCAGTTCCATCCACGTCGTTGCAAATGGCAAGCTCTCATTCCTTTTGATGGCTGCATATTATTCCATTGTGCACATATACCACATCTTCTTTATCCCTTCATCTGTCGATGGACATCTTGACTCTTTCCACAGTTTGGCTACTGTGGACATTGCTGCTATAAACATTGGGGTGCACGTACCCCTTCGGGTCCCTACATTTGTATCTTTGTGGTAAATACCCAGTAGTGCAATTGCTGGGTCATAGGGTAGCACTATTTTCAACCGTTTGAGGAACCTCCGTACTGTTTTCCAGAGTGGTTGCACCAGCTTGCATTCCCACCAACAGTGTAAGAGGGTTCCCCTTTCTCCACATCCCCGCCAACATCTGTCGTTTCCTGACTTGTTAATTTTAGCCGTTCTGACTGGTGTGAGGTGGTATCTCATTGAGGTTTTGATTTGGATTTCCCTGATGCCGAGCGATGTTGAGCACTTTTTCATGTGTCTGTTGGCCATTTGGATGTCTTCTTTGGAAAAATGTCTGTTCATGTCTTTTGCCCATTTCTTGATTGGATTATTTGTTCTTTGGGTGTTGAGTTTGATAAGTTCTTTATAGATTTTGGATACTAGCCTTTTATCTGATATGTCATTTGCAAATATTTTCTCCCATTCTGTCGGTTGTCTTTTGGTTTGGTGGACTCTTTCTTTTGCTGTGCAAAAGCTTTTGATCTTGATGAA